AGGAAGCAAGTCAATTTGGTGGAGCTGGAGGCAGTGCACGAGAAGAAAGATACTGAAGTGGAAGATGAGTGTGAAAGAGTAGAGTTTGCTGTGGAGGAAGGAGTAGAAAAGCTCACTTTGGTATTGCAACAAATCCTTTTGTCACCTAAAAAGGAGGGACAACATCATTACATATTTCGTTCACTTTGTTTTATCAAGAATAAAGTATGTAAAGTGATTATGGACAATGGAAGTTGTGAGAATTTTGTTTCTAAAAAGTTGGTGAATTTGTTGAAACTACCAATTGAGAACCATCCTAAACCTCATTCACTTAGTTGGGTAAAGAGAGGTCATTATGTTCAAGTTGCTAAAACTTGTAAAGTACCTACTTCCATTGGTAAGTATTATAAGGATGAAGTTATGTGTGATGTCATAGACATAGATGCTTGCCATATCCTATTAGGTAGTCCATGGCAGTTTGATGTGGATTCAACTCTCGAAAGGGCGTCATAATATAGTACTCTTTTCATGGGGCAGTCATAAGATTGCTATGGTTCCTTTCACACAGGCAGAGAGAAGTCTACCCATCAATGCACTGAGAGTTTCCTTACCCTTACCAATAATGAGAAGGAGATTATGGAGTCTATAAGAGAATCTGATTGTTTTTATCCAGTTGTAGTTAGGGAACTTTTTACAACAAATAAACAAGGTGTTCCTCCTGAGGTGCAAGAAATATTGATAGAATTTGAAAACTTGGCTTCTGATAAATTGTCGAATGAGTTACCTTTTATGAGGAATATTCAACACTAGATTGATTTGGTACTGGATGTCTTCCAAATTTGCCTCATTATCGAATGAGTCCAAAGGAAAATGAGATTCTAAGGGAACAAATTGAGGAGCTATTGAGAAAAGGGTTCATAAGAGAGAGTATGAGTCCATGTGCAGTACCAGTCCTTCTAGTGCCAAAGAATGATGGAAAGTGGTGTATGTGTGTTAACAGTCGCACCATCAACAAGATAATAGTGAAGTACAAGTTTCTTATTCCATGGTTGGAGGATATGTTAGATATGCTTGGGGGGTCCTAAGGTCTTCTCAAAAAATAGATCTTTGCAGTGGTTATCACTAGATTCGTATTAAGCCCGAGGATGAATGGAAGACCTCCTTCAAGAGGAAGGATTGACTTTACGAATGGTTGGTGATGTCATTCGGACTTTTAAATGCTACAAGAACCTTCATGAGGATGATGAACCAGATTCTAAGTCCTTTTATTGGGTCTTTTGTTATGATGTACTTTGATAACATCCTTATTTACAGCAAGTCTAAGGAGGATCACCTAGTTCACTTGAGGCAAGTCCTAGAGATTCTAAAGGAAAATCAGTTGTACATCAACTTGAAGAAGTGCACTTTCTGTATGTTTTTAGGCTTTGTGGTTGGTGAAGATGGTCTGCATGTAGATGAAGAAGACAACAGCAATTAGAGATTGGCCAATACCAAAGTCAGTTTTCTGAAGTGAGGAGTTTTAGTGGTTTGGCAACTTCCTACAGATGCATTATTGTGGCACCTCTCATCAAATGTTTGAAGAAAGGAAGGTTTTAGTTGGGGTGTGGAATAAGATAAGAGCTTCACCTTCATAAAAAAAAAGTTGTGCACAGCTTATTAGCTTTGCCAAGTTTCGAGAAGATCTTTGAGATGGAGTGTGAAGCTAATGGTATTGGTTTTCTTTTCAGAAAAGTTACTTGATGCCAGGTAGAAGAGTAGTACCTATGAGCAAGAGTTCTATGCAATTGTGAGGGCTTTGAGGCAATGGGAGCACTATCTTGTACAGAATGAGTTTATGTTGTTCACCAAGCCTCGAAATTCATTCATAGTCAGAAACACGTCGACATGATGCATGCTCAGTGGGTGATCAAACATAAATCTGGAAGTACAAACAGAGTTGCAGATGCACTAAGTCGGAGAGCTTCTTTATTGATGACATTGTCATAGGAAATTGTTAGGTTTGAATGCTTGAAAGAACTATATAATGATCTTGACTTTAAGGAGATTTGGAGTAAGTGTGTAAATCGGGAATCAATTGTGGATTTCTATATTATTGAAGGGTATTTGTTCAAAGGCAACCAGCTTTGTATTCATGTTCATCTTTACGTGAAAAATTGATTTGAGATCTGCATGGTGGAGGTCTAAGTGGACACTTGGGGCATGACAAGGCAATAGCCATTTTGGAGGCTCTGTATTATTCGCCACAGTTGAAGCGGGATGTTGGAATTATAGTAAAAAAGTGTTATTGGTGTCAAAGGGTGAAGTGCAGAATACTGGTTTGTACATGCCACTTCCTGTCCCTCATGACATATGGCAAGATTTGGCTATGGATTTTTTTTTTTTTTTGGTACTCAACGGGGCATAGATTCTGTTTTTGTGGTGGTTGACAGGTTCTTCGAAATGATGCATTTCATAACTTGTCGGAAGACTTCAGATGCATCAAATATTGCCAAACTATTTTTCAGAGAGATTGTTAGATTGCATGAAGTTTAACTCCCAAGTCTATCACATCAAACCGGGATACAAAATTTTTGGGCACTTTTGGATTACTTTGTGAAGTTGTTTGGAACCAATTTGAATCGAAGTAGCACTGCACATCCCCAAACTGATGGACAGACTGAGGTTACTAATCGTACCCTCGGAACGAAATATTTATACAGATGTGTCTTACCATGTGGTAGATTTAGCGAAATTGCCTAAAGGCGATAATAAAAGTGTTGTTGTTGAACATCTGGCAGAGGAGGTGTTAGCAGTTTGTGATAAGGTAAAACAGAAGTTAGAAAAAACTAATGCAAAGTATAAGGTAACAGCAGATTCATATCGACGGGATAAACAATTTCAGGAAGGGGACTCGATGATGATATTTTCGAGAAATGAGAGATTTTCTGTTGGTACTTACAATAAGCTAAAACCAAGAAAGTATGGACCTTTCAAAGTATTTAAACAGATTAACAACAATAACTAGGGGGTTAACAAATAAAAACCAAACACTTCCCACTTAAAATATTAAATTCAGCAAACTTCTCATATCTTATTACTCACAAATGAACATTAGATACTCAATTATCTGTTTACTCATAGGAAGGATGTCATCGAATGTGAACAAATAGACTCAGATGGAGGGGATCACAATACTAACGATTTTTGGGATACGGTCTAGGTAGCTCGTGAAGATGATGCGATTATTTTAGAGACAGTTACTTATAGAATTCCGTCCATAGTTCACGACAATGAGTATGAAAATACAAATACTTTTACAGACGAGAATTTGATCGCTTTATCCCGGCAAAGACATAAGCCCCCGGCCTCAGGGACTGGATTGAGTGGATCATCCTCTAACTCCTCGTGTGTGGTTCACGATAGTGATGATTTGTATGTCGGGCAACTATTTGAAACGAAAAAGAATTTACAGGAAGCTGTGCACCTAATTGCGCTGAAATACAACTTTGAGTTCAAAGTGAAAAAATCAAACAAGTCGTTGATTGTCAGCATAGACGATAGTTGCTGTTCACGTTTGCGAGCGACGAAAATGAATACGAATGACTACTTTGTAGTTCGCAAGTAAGTACACACGGGAACATACTTGTGAAGTGGAATTACGTCGAAATGATCACAAGCAAGCCTTGTCGACTTATAATGCACAAGTATCAGGATCCGCGATCTACAGATTATCAGACATCATTAATGACATCCGTCGAGAGTACAGAGTAGTCTTAAGCTACCAAAAGGCCTCGAAGGCCAAGGAATGCTTTTGAGGATTTAAGGGGAGCTATACTAAATTGGCTAGGTAATGCCATAACATGGAGAAAACTAATCTTGCTCCGAATTTTTTATTGAGATGGAGGGTGAGAATTGATTCAAATTCTTCTTCATGGCTCTTGGACAATGCATTCGGGGATTTCAAAATGCAATGTGACCCCTAATTCTAGTTGATGGTACAACACTGAAATCTAAATATCAAGGTAAGTTGATTATTGCTACATGTTAAGATGTCAACATCCAAATTTACCCTCTTGCATTCGAGATAGTCGATTGTGAGAATGACCTGTCGATATGGTGATTCTTCACAAAGTTAAGGGAAGTAATCGGAGAAGTCAAGGACCTTGCATTTGTAACCGATCGGGAACAGCCTTTAATAAATGGTATCGTTGAAATTTTTTCAGATGCACTTTATGGATATTACATGTACCATATTCAAGGCAATCTGAAGACCAAGTATCGAGGCAAAGGTATCATTTCATTATTCAGAATAGTGATTGAAGCCTATAGTGTTGAAGAGTATAAGTTCATGGTTGAAATAATAAATAAATCATTTGATGCATGGGATTATCTAACGAGAATGGGGATTGAACATGGGGCGCACTCATTTTTTCAGGACGTCGATACATCGTGATGACGTCAAACAACGCGAAGTTTCTCAATGCATTATTCAAGAAGGATCGAGAATTACTGACCTTGCACTAATTGAGAATATCCGTACCAAGCTGCAGTAGTAATTTCACGATCGACGTGCAGAATCACAGAATTGCACGACTGTGCTATCCCCGACGCAAGAGGAAAGACTATTCAAAACTGCAGAGCTTGCGAGACAATTGAACGTCGAAACTATTAGATGAGTTGCGCTTCTCAATGTAATGTGCACGTAATACGACATACATGATGGATTTGACTGATAACACATGCACTTGTAAAAAATTTCAGTTGGAGACTTTTCCATGTGAGCATACAGTCGCGGTTGCTATGTATCGAGGATTTGCAATTAGAACATTGTACCCTCATTATTACACTACTGATTATTGGAGAGCTGCGTACGCTGAGAAAATATTTCCTCTGCCAACGAAACTGAGTGAGACGTCCCCGACCATATGTGCCCACTCAATACATTGTCGTCATCTTTCATTGAACTGCGTGGTCCTGGATGTCCAAGTACGTCTAAAATACCATCTACCGAAAAATTTCCTTGACCACGTAGGTACAATCGGTGCAAATCAATAGGACATATTCACCAATATTGTACAAGTCATGTTCCTCTAAATGACAGTTATTTTGTAATGTTGTCCATCTGAAATAAACAATATTTACATTTATTCTACGATATTTCAAAGGACATTTATTCTACAATAATTACAATAAATTTATGGATCATCATTGAAGTAGAATAAGTCGCATGTCAACTTATTCCATCAACTCTGTATCCGAATTAGTTGATTCCATCAACCTTATGTACTATACTAAAAAATTCGATATACTTTTTATTGCAAAAATGGCACAATTGCCCCTGCAAATGAACAATAATGAGTTAGATCAATATCGTGCAGAAAAAAATCAAGTATTAAATTTTAAAAATTTTAGAACCTCTTACAATATTGTCTGCCTCGTTGTCGTCCTGTCCCGCACGACAGTTAGAGCCCTTCACAATCAATCCCGCATCTCTAGATTTTACTTGAACTGACCCTGTGTCAGATATGAATAATCGGGGTCGTATACATATATAGTAGACTCAGCCAACATAATCTCCAAAGCTATGCAGTGATGATTCACTCTCATTGGTATGTATGTGTACAACCCTCCCATGACTTTCTCCCGACACGTAGCCATGTCCCTATGGTCCACTCGAGCATGTAGTCGGGCATCATGTACTCCTTCTTGGCATGTTGGAGCGACTGGTACTCAATGTCAACGCTTTGTCCGAACTCCAAATTCAATATGACTCGACCAGGACTGTCAAATGACCCCGAATATTTCTGAACCCGATTACGCAACAAGTCCATGGCCAGGTCGATATGCTACATTAAAAAATAACAATACAAAAGGGAGTATTTCATTGCATAAACAAACAATGATATACAAGTCATAAAAAATAACAATATGACTACTTCACTTATATCGTCGTCAAGCCAAGCTCCTGAAGTGATGATATCGTGGAACCAGTTATAAGCATCGAAGATCATCACAGTACCGATTGTATGGCTGGTCCTGAAAAAAGAAACAGAGAAATGTTAAAGAAGCATATACAAGTAACGCAGCGTACTTTACTAATATCATGAATACTAACCCAGGCAATATTCTTCTCCACTCCGTCTTGAACGCTTTCCATTTAATATGATTCGCTTTCCCAAATAGGTTGAGGATCGTCCCATCGACGAACCTCCTTTTCTTCATCTCAGACGTGAAGCGAAAGACAATGTACTGTGACGGTACTCTCCACCTCTTGCCTACCACCAGCTCCGAAACGTCAACAGCACGCTTTTTCGAACCACTTAGAAGGATCGAAGATCATCACAGTACCGATTGTATGGCTGGTCCTGAAAAAAGAAACAGAGAAATGTTAAAGAAGCATATACGAGTAACGCAGCTTATTTTACTAATATCATGAATACTAACTCGGGCAACATTCTTCTCCACTCCATCTCGAACGCTTTCCATTTGGCATGGTCCACCTCCTGAAATAGGTTGGGGATCGTCCCATCGACGAACCTCCTCCTATTCATCTCAACCGTGAAGGGAGAGACAATGTACTGTGATGACACTCTTGGCCTCTTGCCTACCACCAGCTCTAACATGTCAACAACATGCTTTTTCGCCACCTTAGTCACGATGGTCGTCCTCCCCTCGTCCATCTCGGGGATCGCCCACTCCTCCGCCCCGACGATAGCCACTTCCTCCACGCTCGCCTTCTCCTACGCCCCCGTCGCCACCACCTCTTCAACCATAGCTCCATCCCTGACGGTCCTACCCCTTCTCATCCACCCCATCATCACCACCTCCTTAACCCCCTCATCCGTCCCCTGTCGGCACCACCTCCTCAACTGTCGTTCCCGTCCTCGATGGGACCACCCCCTCCCCTGCCCTCGAGGATTCCAATGCATCCTCTGACCACTACTAATGGTCCCCGTCTCTATCCTCCTCTTAATCACCCCTCGGTCGTCACCTTCGTCACCCCATCTTTTGCTTGCTATATCACCTCGGAGTGCTATCACCTCATCCTGAAGGTCCCCTAAATGCCCACGTAGCACTCTAACATCATCAACTATATCCTCAACCCTTCCTACCAATTAGCATCCCAGATCGTCGACCCGCTCCACTATATCTCGACACAGCAAGCGACCTCCTCTAATATAACTCCTATCAGTTCTCGACGCAACGCGCCGATCTTCTGCACCATAAATCCAATCAGGCAATAGTACAAATCATTAGAATAATCACCCTGATGGGGAGGAGATGATGCCCTGGGTGGAGGTGATGCCCGATCAACTGGCTCCCGGTCCTGCACAAACTTACAAACTATTAATTTATTCAATAATTGCTAATTCATACAAAATATTAATCAATAATTCACTTACCCAGTCTCGATCAAGAATCGAATCGGACATCTGGTATTCTTGGGTGTGCGGAACCGCTATTTCACGCACAAGACCCTGCACCTCCTCCTCCATCGACAATGTCAAATGAGTTATTACTTCAAACTGACCTATTGACATTTTAAAAAAATAAAACCATATCATTCCGCACATGAGGGTCGTCGAAGAAAGTCGATAATTGTTTCCCTGTAGGACAGCGTGTCTCCCCTCGCCACGCAATGTGGGTACCCAATATGGGAATGATCTCATACGCCCAGACCTGCAACACATAAATTAATATATACAAATTCAATAAAAAATATATTTTAACATTAATTGCGTTGATCATTTACTTGCAGAAACAAGGGGAATCTGTAGGCGTCGTACTTACGCACGGGCCCCTTGGGCTTCGAGTGCGATCTGGTGAAGATGTAGACAGTGTTCTCGAAATATCGGCGGCCCCATGGATAGTTGTTGAAGCGATCTATGTCGTAGACGATATCCAGGTGGAAGAGGTCGATCGCAATTTTCTTGTGGTGACACCACATTTCTGCCAGCTGCCTCATTGCCCGTAATCTTCAATCCACAGAATCTGCCTCAACTGCATCCAGATGATAATCCATCTCGCAAAAATTGAAATAGAATTAAGCGAACCAAATCTTAATTACTATATCGCAAGCATTCATGAAACTTTTTCCCTCTTACCAAAAATTAATAATTAAAATTTAAAATAATAGTTAAAATAAAAAACTAAAATTAAGATGAAAATATAAAATTATTCAAATTAAATAGAGTTTTAAACCCTATTACCAAAAAGTAATAATTAAAATGAAATTGAAATTGAAATTTGAAATTAAAACTAAAAGTTAAAATTATAATTAACTAATTAAATTGAAAATTAAAATTAAAATGAAAACAACAAATTATTTAAATTAAATTAATAATATGAATTTTTTACCGTATTATGAAAATTTATAATTAACATTAAAATAAAATTAAAAATTAAAATTACAATTACAAATTATTTAAAATAAAAATTTAAAATTAGAATTAAAAAATTAACTGGAAAATTAATTTTAAAATAAAAAACTTTTTTAAATTAAAATTAAAACTAAAAGTTAAAATTATAATTAACTAATTAAACTGAAAATAAAAATAAAAATAAAAATAAAAATAAAAAATTATTCAAATTAAATTAATAATATGAATTTTTTAACGTATTATGAAAATTAATAATTAACATTAAAATTAAAATTAAAAATTAAAATTACGATTACAAATTATTTAAAATAAAAAGTTAAAATTAGAATTAAAAAATTAACCGAAAAATTAATTTTAAAATAAAAAACTTCTTTAAATTAAAATTATAATTAGAAGAAAATTTAAATTTAAAATAAATTAAAAACTAAAAATAAATTAAAAAATTAAAAAATAAATTTTAAAATAAATTTTAAAAAAATAAATTTCTTTAAATTAGAATTATAATTAAAATGAAAATTTAAATTTAAAATACAATTAAAAGTAAAAATAAAAATAAAAAGATAAAATTAGAATTACAAAATTAATTTGAAAATTAATTTTAAAGTAACAAATTTATTAAAATTATAATTTAATATAAAATTAAAATAAAAAATAAAAAATTAAAATTTAATTTCAAGTAAAGAGTTAAAAAATTAATCTTAGAATAACAAATTTAATTAAAAAAATTATTTAAATAAAAATTCTAAATATTTAATGATTTAAATTAATTTAGAAAATTAAAAAAAGACCGAAAATCGACTGTTAACAGCCGGTTTAACAGCCATCCACAGCCGACTATCTGGCTATCCGACTATCAACAGCCAACTCCTTCATCTCGTCGGAGCCCACACATCATCTATACCCAAATCTAGCCTAAATCATGCCTCCCACACCATAAAAATAATATTCCAACCAGTAATCGAATTAAAACTCAACAAAGCCCAATAATCTAATTATAACTCCACAAAAACTGACATTTACTATGTAGCCTGCAATCGAAAGTTATTTCACGCACAAGACCCTGCACCTCCTCCTCCATCGACAATGTCAAATGAGTTATTACTTCAAGCTAATCTATTGATATTTTAAAAAAATAAAACCATATCATTCCGCACATGAGGGTCGTCGAAGAAAGTCGATAATTGTTTCCCTGTAGGACATCCTCTGCTCAATATACTCGCCAATGGTGCATATGAGGACAGCGTGTCTCCCCTCGACACGCAAAGTGGGTACCCAATATGAGAATGATCTCATACGCCCAGACCTGCAACACATAAATTAGTATATACAAATTCAATAAAATATATATTTTAACATTGATTGCATTAGTCATTTACTTGTAGAACCAAGGGGAATCTGTAGGCGTCGTACTTACGCACGGGCCCCTTGGCTGGTGAAGATGTAGACGGTGTTCTCGAAATATCGGCGGCCCCATGGATAGTTGTTGAAGCGATCTATGTCGTCGACGATATCCAGGTGGAAGAGATCGATCGCAATTTTCTTGTGGTGACACCGCATTTCTGCTAGCTGCCTCATTGCCCGTAATCTTCAATCCAGAAGGGCAAACTTGAACATGGAAAAGTTGTCAAAGTTACTGTTCTACATAACTTTCCACAGCATCTGCCTCAGCTGCATCCAGATGATAATCCATCTCGCAAAAATTGAAACAGAATTAAGCAAACCAAATCTTAACTACTATATCGCAAGCATTCATGAAACTTTTTCCCTCTTACCAAAAATTAATAATTGAAATTTAAAATAATAGTTAAAATAAAAAACTAAAATTAAGACAAAAATATAACATTATTCAAATTAAATAGAGTTTTAAACCTTATTACAAAAAAGTAATAAGTAAAATGAAATTGAAATTAAAACTAAAAGTTAAAATTATAATTAACTAATTAAATTGAAAATAAAAATTAAAATGAAAATTATTTAAAATAAAAATTTTAAATTAGAATTATAAAATTAACTTGAAAATTAATTTAAAAAAAATTTTTAAATTAAAATTATAACTAAAATGAAATTAAAACTAAAAGTTAAAATTATAATTAACAAATTAAATTGAAAATTAAAATAAAAATAAAAATAAAAAATTATTCAAATTAAATTAACAATATGAATTTTTTACCGTATTATGAAAATTAATAATTAACATTAAAATTAAAATTAAAACCTAAAATTACAATCACAAATTATTTAAAATAAAAAGTTAAAATTAGAATTAAAAAATTAACCGAAAAATTAATTTTAAAATAAAAAACTTCTTTAAATTAAAATTATAACTAGAAGAAAATTTAAATTTAAAATAAATTAAAAATTAAAAATAAATTAAAAAATTAAAAATTAGAATTAAAAAATTAATTTTAAAATAATAAATTTCTTTAAATTAAAATTAAAATGAAAATGAAAATTTAAATTTAAAATACAATTAAGAATTAAAATAAAAATAAAAAGATAAAATTAGAATTACAAAATTAATTTGAAAATTAATTTTAAAGTAACAAATTTATTAAAATTATAATTTAAATTTAAATTAAAATTTAAAATAAAAAATTAAAATTTAAAATTTAATTTCAAATAAAGAGTTAAAAAATTAATCTTAGAATAACAAATTTAATTAGAAAAAAATTATTTAAATAAAAATTCTAAACATTTAATGATTTAAATTAATTTAGAAAATTAAAACAAAAGGCCTAAAATCGACTGTTAACAGGTTTAATAGCCAGCCGACTGTCTGGCTGTCCGACTATCAACAGCCAACTCCTTCATCTCGCCCGAGCCCACACATCAACTATACCGAAATCTAGCCTAAATCATGCTTCTCACACCATAAAAATAATATTCGTACCATTAATCTAATTAAAACTCAACAAAGCCCAATAATTTAATTATAACTCCACAAAAACTGACATTTACAATAGGATATAGCCAGCAATCGAAAGTTATTTCACGCACAAGACCCTGCACCTCCTCCTCCATCGACAATATCAAATGAGTTATTACTTCAAACTGACCTATTGACATTTTAAAAAAATAAAACCATATCATTCCGCACATGAGGGTCGTCGAAGAAAGTCGATAATTGTTTCCCTGTAAGACATCCTCTGCTCAAGATACTCGCCAATGGTGCATACGAGGACAGCGTGTCTCCCCTCGCCACGCAAAGTGGGTACCCAATATGGGAATGATCTCATACGCCTAGACCTGCAACACATAAATTAGTATATACAAATTCAATAAAAAATATATTTTAACATTGATTGCGTTAATCATTTACTTGCAGAACCAAGGGGAATCTGTAGGCGTCGTACTTATGCACGGGCCTTTGCGGTCCCATGGATAGTTGTTGAAGCGATCTATGTCGTCGACGATATCCAGGTGGAAGAGGTCGATCGTAATTTTCTTGTGGTGACACCGCATTTCTACCAGCTGCCTCATTGCCCGTAATCTTCAATCCAGAAGGGCAAACTTGAACATGGAAAAGCTGTCAAAGTTACTGTTCTACATAACTTTCCACAGCATCAGCCTCAACTGCATCCAGATGATAATCCATCTCGTCAAAATTGAAACAAAATTAAGCGAACCAAATCTTAACTACTATATCGCAAGCATTCATGAAACTTTTACGCTCTTACCAAAAAATAATAATTGAAATTTAATATAATAGTTAAAATAAAAAACTAAAATTCAGATGAAAATATAAAATTATTCAAATTAAATAGAGTTTTAAATCCTATTACCAAAAAGTAATAATTAAAATGAAATTGAAACTGAAAATTGCAATTAAAACAAAAAGTTAAAATTATAATTAACCAATTAAATTGAAAATAAAAATTAAAATGAAAACAAAAAATTATTCCAATTAAATTAATAATATGAATTTTTTACCGTATTATGAAAATTAATAATTAACATTAAAATAAAATTAAAATTTAAAATTACAATTACAATTACAATTACAAATTATTTAAAATAAAAATTTAAAATTAAAATAAAAAATTAACTGGAAAATTAATTTTAAAATAAAAAACTTTTTTAAATTAAAATTATAACTAAAATGAAATTAAAACTAAAAGTTAAAATTATAATTAACTAATTAAATTGAAAATAAAAATAAAAATAAAAAAATTATTCAAATTAAATTAATAATATGAATTTTTTAGGGTATTATGAAAATTAATAATTAACATTAAAATTACAATTACAAATTATTTAAAATAAAAAGTTAAAATTAGAATTAAAAAATTAAACGAAA